GAAAAGTGTCCCAAGAACATGCACCAGAGTCAGAGACTCATTTGTTCATTCAGTAAGGAGCTCCATAAAATAATTAAGTTAAAACCTATAATATGTATCCACAGGACCTACTGTAAACCAATGTAGGCTCTGTGCGTGCTGCTTTAGTCTCTATAAACTCATATGTGCCCTGCTTAATTGCTTCAGAGGGCCTTGTTCTCCAGGTGTCCTCTGTCTCTTAAAAGCTTACAACCCTCTTCCTCTGAATTCCCTGATACCTTAGGGGAGGTATTTGATGGACACCTCCCATTTAGACTCTCTCTCCACATATTGTCTGCCTGTGGGTTTCTGTATCTGTTACCATCTGATGCTAAAGGAAGCCTCTCTGATGATGACTGGATGTGTAACTGATATATGAGTAAAATACCATTAGGAATCATTTTATTGATTGTTTTCTAGACCTGCAGTGTTTGGTTTTAACCTAGGTCCCTTGGCTATCTAATCTCTGCTCCTTTGGTACACAGGTAGTGTCAGATATAGCGTCCTTCTAACTGAGGGACCTTAAGTCAAAGCATATATTAATTGACTACTAAAATTTCTGTGTCACCATTGTCCTAGTGAATTTTGAAGTCTAGACAGATTATAGGTCAAAGGTTTTTTTGATAGGTTTTTGTTCATCTTTCTCTTTCTATAGTCTGCAGAGTACCTTCTGACACCAAAAAGACTAGACAGTAGAGGTGAAAGCTCCATGTAGGGACAAGCTGGACTTTTCCATGTTCAATGAATTTAATGGCTATTGTTTTCAGCAATGAGTTGTCAGTGTGGATAGAGCATTCCTTTGCCTTAGCAACAGCCTGGTTGTTTGACAATTTCTATGGCACCTCCTTGGATCAAGAACTCCATTGAATGTAACCTAGTTACATCAATGGAGGCCTTGCCTGGTTATAAGAGATGGTCAGTTGAGACTCCACAACTACTATTACTGACTAATACTGTGAGTCCTCATTTGGATCATCTGCATAGATTATCAGAAATTTGCACAGCACTATATTTCAACAGTAACTCCATAATAGACCCAAAATTGAAGACTTACTCCACACTCCCTCCACCAATCTCAACTCCAAGTGATCCTCCTACTCTAATTTCTACCTGTCCTCAGTGAACCCATAAAATCTGTTCTATTCCCCCACCCAGGAAGATCCATGCATTTCCCCAGGCCTTTCCTCTTTACCTAACCTCTCTAGGTCTTTGTATTGTAGCTTGGTTATTATTTATTCAGTATCTAATATCCACTTATAACGGAATACATACCAAATTTGTCTTGCTGAGTCTGTGTTACCTCACTCATGTGAGTTTTTGTAGTTCTCCCATATGTTTGCAAATTTCATGATGTCATTTTTTATACATATAATTATTGATTCCTGTTATTTTGTTGTTTTTTATAGTGGTGGTGGAGAGAGAGACTGTGTGTGTTTCCCTTCTAATGATTTTTCTGGTGTGGGGTTATTTATTTTTTCTGTTTTCAGGCAGTGTAGTTAACCTCCTTAGGTTGGGATATCCTTATAGCATCATGTATAGGGTTGAATTTGTAGATAGATATTATTCAAATTTGACTGTATCATGTAATATCTTATTTTATCCATCTATGGTGACAAAAAATTTGTTGGGTACAGTAGTCTGGTCTGGTAGCTGTAGTCTCTTAGAGTTAGCAGTACACCTGTTCAGGTTCTTCTGGCTTTTAGAGTCTACATTGAGAAACCAGTTGTAATTCTAATAGGTCTGCCCTTTACTTGTTCTTTTTCCCTTGCAATTTTTAGCATTTGCTCCTTGTTCTGTATGCTTAGTGTTTTGATTATTATGTGGTGAGGGGATTTTTATTTCTGGTCTAATCAATTTGGTGTTGTCTGTGCTTCCTGTATCTTTATAGGTATCTCCTTCTTTAGGTTAGGAAATTTTTCAACTATGATATTGTTTGAAAATTTTGAAAACATTTTCTGACCCACAAAGAGTGAGATTGGTGTATGTTGTCTGTTTACCTGGCCTGTTCAGATGGTGTGTTCACAGGAAATGCCTACTGGTGGTATTGGTACCTCAGATACTGGGATGAGTTGAAGAAAGGAATGCTGGAGTAAACGGTGTTTGTGATCAATTTGGGATAGGGACAGAAAGGAAAGGGATATCAATGCATGATTCCAACAAGAGAGCTTGGTATGAGACTAGGGAATCGGATCTCAAGAGCAGTAGGAGGTTAAGAAAATTTTCTGAACACCCAGGACCTTTACCACTAATGACATGAACATTTGTCACTCCTCTATGAACACCTATGCTTTGGAAAATAATTCTGTGACCACTGTGCACAATATGTGTGCATTTTCTTATAAGCCCCCACTATCTTAGAACTCTAAATGCAGCATAATTCATTGGTATAGTAGGTATCCAGTTTTGGCTATTGAGAATCCCTAAAATATTCTGCAGTGTTGGATTTTTTTGAAAACTACACCACAGCATTTATATACCCAGACACAGAAATACTGAACTCTGTGTAGCCTGTGATCTTGGATTCACTATGTGAGGTAGACCTTCCTTAAACAGTCTATAAACAGTTGACTGCCACAATAGCACAAGATCTCTACAAACCCACATGAAACATAAATCAAGGAAACATATATACCAAATCCCAGTTCCAATAGTTCCATCTACAAAACACTCCTGCATCTGAGTCTCTGAGAACATTACAGAAGAGGTGAGCAGACAAATTGTAAAGAGCCAGAGTATCAGGGACTTTGTTGTGAGATTGTATCTCCTAGTAACATCAAAAGCTCCATCCATAAAGTCTCATCAGTATGATCATGAAAACCTGATCTGAACCACAATCACGCTTATGAATATGTCTGATGGGGGAATTCCTGTGTATATGTCAATAAAGCACTGTTGGCCAATAGGGAAGCAAGATAGGTGGGACTAGGAGTCCAGGAGGACTCTGGGTAGGAGAAACACAGGAAGTCAAGATGTAACCTCCATGGGGTAGAAAGACCGGAAAACTCTCTGGTAAGAGAAATACTTAGATTAACAATTATGGAGTAAATGCTTAAGTCAGAGCTATCCAGTAAGAAACAAGCAAGGCCAACAGCTTCATAATTAATATAGCCTCCTGTGTGTTTATTTGGGACTGACGTGGCTCTGGAACCAGGCTGGCAGGAAGGCTTCTCTCAAGGAAGGTTTCACTTTATACATGTCAAACTGAATAGGGAGATGCCCACAAGTTCTCAGCAACTATAAGCAAGTGACTAAAGCTGGGAGAGGGAAAGGTGATTCTTCCCAGGGAAGAACAGATTGGTTGTACAGTGCTGTCAGACCAGAAATTAAACACACACACACAAACACACACACACACAGACACACACACACGTAACATTATGTAGACTAATAGGCTTATATATGTATATACAAATACATATTTCATGCAATATGAACTAATGAAAAAAGGCATTTGAAGATAGCTGCAAGGATTACATGAGATAGCTTGGAAGGAGGAAAGGAAAGGGAACACTGTTTTAATTAAATTATGCGCTCAAAAATAAACAATATAACAAAATGACTCTGCTATAATTGACAAAGGGTAAATAGGAATTTACAGATTCTGTGGAAATTTCTTCTCAAAAAACTCAGAAAAATAAAAAGACAACAGAGATGCATGATTAAAATATAATAGAAAGAATACCACAGGTACACAAATAAAATTCTAGCAAAGATAATCCAACCAAGCCCAAATTTAGCCAAATGAAATGTTATCTCAGGTCTTCAAGCCAAATGAAGTGACAGGAGAGGAACTTTTATTGTCAAAATGTATTTTATTTTAAATATAATCACATAATTTTCCCCTTGCCTTTCCTCCCTCCAGCCCCGCCAAATTTCTTCTCTCCAACATCTTCACTTTTCTTTCCTCACTTTAAAATTGATAACCTCTTCTTCGCTGAGTATCATTTTATACACACACACACACACACACACACACACATACACACACACACGTGCACCCACACACAGACACAGTGTGATTTGTCTGTTTTTGTCATTTGAGTGTATCTGGTTTCAGGGCTGGCTACTTGGTGTTGGACAACTAGTAAGGAAATTCTTCTACAGAGAGGAGCTACTCTCCCTCTTTCAGCAGTTATCAGTTGCCTGCAGTTCATTATCCCAGGGTATGATGAAAATTTTCAAAGAAGTTATGTAAACAAACTGGGCACATATCAGAAATACATATAGCTAAAAGAAAAAGTATTTAAATAAATTGCAAAATAATATGAATATTTCTTTGCTTTAGGTTTAATTGCTGTAGTAGTAATTTGTTCAGAATAAGAATAGCAGCAGTCACAGTGAAAGAAAAAGATATTTTAGTATTAAAATCTACGACTCACCAACTGCTAGTACAGAATACAAAATAGGATGTAGATTATGTATAAATTGTAATTGTAACCTTGAGAAACTACTCACTGATCAAAATAGAAGTATATTTTTTAATTAATACAAAACATTCCAGACCAATGCTTCTTAACCCTCCTCCTCTTCATCCTAGTTAATTGGGTTAATCTCTTTGCTGTTGGGGACAACACCCAAACAATCTTGGAGATTGTTCTTCAAATATTTTTTGGTGAGATATTTCAAATACCTTGGGGGAAAGGCACCTTGGAAGTGACAGTGATCTTACTGTTGCTCCATTTTATGGTCACAACCCCTTTCCCAGATTCCCAGCTTTTCCATTCACGTTGATTGTCTCTTAAAGGAACTGCTAGAAATTGGAAGCATGCATGATTCCTTCTTTCACAGGGTGGGGGCGATCAAGGGTGAACTTCAAAACCTGATATTTTTGTCCCTCTTCACCACAAGTTTTTTCTCAGGCCCCACAGTAGCTGAGGAGGCAGAAAGGGACATGTTGTTCCGGAATGTTTTGTAGTACTTCCTAAATGAAATTAGGAACAAAAAAGCAGTATAAATAAATGATAAGTTAAGAAATAAGAGATGTGCTTGCCTCGGCAGCACATAAAATAATACTGAAATCATTCAGAGAAGGTTAGCCTGGCTCCTGTGCAAGGATGACATGAAAATCTGTGAAACATTTCATGTATTTGTAGGAATGTACCTCACCTAGGAAAGCACACTAGAACCGACTCTATATCAGGGTCATAGGAGAGCCATTCTTGAGAGCATTAGAGGTTGGCCCTGCCCTTCTTCTTTTGCCTCCTACAGCAATCTGGAGAGAGAGCACTGACTGAACCTTGCCTGGGCAAAACAGTAGATCTGGCTCTGGCGATGAAAATAAGGGAGACCTGACTGGGCAGGCCTAAGAGGAAGAGAACTGGCCAGGCTCCTTGTTGCAGGCTGCATTAGGTGAGTTAGCCAAGGCTGTGCTGGAGAGCTCATCTGGGAAGTGACAGTGAGGGAAAGCTGGCAGGCTGACCAACACAGCTACCACTCAGGCCCAGAACAAGAGGTATGAACTGGCCCACCCCAACATCCACCGGATTTATGTACTGTTGGACCATGTGAAGGAGATAAGCCTACAAATCCAAAACAGCAGAATCTCCATGACACAGGAAAATAACAGGATGCCCATGAGGATCCACAATGAGAGTCTGTTATCGGTAGTATAGCCGAAATCTGAGGCCCAAACCTCACCAATGACTCATAGCAAAGAACATGTACAAGATGTATGGACTAAATGGTAAAACTGTGTGACTCACTGAGCCACCTTTAACTCCCATTAGACACTTCTTTTTTATTTTTGTTCCTTTTCTGCTTGTGTTTTTGGTTTATCTTTTAAATTTACTTTTGTTTTGGGAGAAAGTGGCAAGGGAAGATGTAAGGGAATTGGGAGATAAATGGAATCAGAATGAATGATGGAAAATCCACAAAGAATCAATAAAAGCAAAGAAATAGAATTAAGAGATAATTGAATCATGTTGAATGCTCAGTTAAAAACATAAAAGGGAGGTAAAACAGGCCCTGCATCTGGGCCTGTGTTCTAGTGCCTGGGGATCACCTGGGAACTGCATGGAGCTTCCAATCCCTGCAGGAGGCAAGCACCCCAGATTCCAGGTCTTCTCTCCCAACAACGAGACCAGAAAACCAGTGGATCCAGCAAAGGGACAAGGGGACCAGGTGGGATGCTCAGCACCCCAGATTCCTTGTCTTCTTCTCCACCGATGGGACCAGAATGAGGAAAATGAATAGAAGAACTACCAGACTATTGGACTTGCTAGCACCCACCAAAAGGGAACTCTGGTCCCTTAACCACAGGACTAGTAATGGACTCTTCTGCACCCACTAGAAGAAGAGATGGGAAACAGACAATAGAAAAACACACACAGCAAGAAAAAAAGCAAATATGACACCGCTAGAGACTCCACACCAGCAAGATTCCAACATTCCAATGCAAATGAAGCAGAAGAGAATGACCTTAAAACCACTTACGTGAAAATGATAGAGGCCCTAAAATAGGATATAGGAAAATCCCTCAAAGAAATGGATGAAAACACAAACCAAAAAATGCAAGAAATGGAAGAAAAAGCCAACCAAAAAAGGCAGGAAATGGGAGAAAAAACAAAGCAAAAAATGCAAGAAATGGAAGAATAAACAAACCAAAGAATGCAGGAAATGGAAGAAAAAACATACCAAAAATACAAGAACTGGAAGAAAAAAACAAAGCAAAAATGCAAGAATTGGAAGAATAAGCAAACCAAAAAATGCAAGAAATGGAAGAACAAACAAAAAAATTCATAAAATGCAACAAATGGATGAAAAGATAAACCGAAAATTGCAAGAAACAATGCAAACACTGCAAGGGTTGAAAACTGAAATAGAGACAATAAAAAAAAATCACAATCTGAAAAAAGGCTGGAAATACAAAAGCTGGGCAAACGGTGAGGTATTACCGTTATAAGCATTACCGGAAAAATACAAGAGATGGAAGAGAGAATCTCAGGTGTTGAAGATACACTAGAAGAAATGGATTCATCAGCCAAAGAAAATCTTAAGTCCAACAAATCCTTAACACAAAACATCCAGGAAATATGGGACACCATGATAAGACCAAACCTAAGAATTAGGTATGGAAGAAGGAGAAGAAAATCACCTCAAAGGGGCAGAAAACATATTCAACAAAATCATAGAAGAAAACTTTTCCAACCTTAAGAAAGACATGCCAATGAAGATACAAGAAGCTTACAGAACACCAAATGGAGTGGATCACAAATAAAAGTCCCCTCGCCACATAATAATCAAGATCCCAAATATAAAGAATAAAGAAAGAATATTGAGAGCAGTAAGGAAAAAGGCCAAGTAACATATAAAGGCAAACCTATCAGAATTACACCTGACTTCTCCATGGAAACTCTGAAAGCCAGAAGGTCCTGGATAGATATTCTACCAACACTAAGAGACCACGGATGCCAGCCCAGACTACTATACCCGGCAAAGCTCTCAATCACTATAGATGGAGAAAACAAGATGTTCCATGACAAAACTAGATTCAAGCAATACATATCTAGTAATCCAGTCCTACAGAAACTTTTGGAAGGGAAACTCCAACACAAGGAAGTTATCTACAACCAAAAATACATAGGCATTAGAGAATCCCTCTCTACCAACAGCCAAAAGAACAAAGGGGTGAAATTCCACACATATTTCCACCAAAAACAACCATTCAAAGAAGAATGAGCAGTCAATGGTCATTAATATCCCTCAACATTAATGGCCTTAACTCACCCATAAAAAGACCCAGGCTAGCAGAATGGATTCGAAGACAGAACCCATCCTTCTGCTGCATACAAGAAACACACCTCACCCTCAAAGACAGACATTACCTGAGAGTTAAAGGATGGGAAAGATTTTTCCAATCAAATGGACCCAAGAAACAAGCAGGGATAGCAATCCTAATATCTAACAAATTAGACATTAAAATAAAATCAATCAAAAGAGATGAAGGAGGTCATTACATACACATCACAGGTGAAATCCATCAAGATGAAGTGTCTATCCTGAGCATCTATGCCACAAATACAAAGGCATCCACATTCATAAAAGAAACATTACTAAAACTTAAATCACATATAAAGCCCCACACACTTATAGTGGGAGATTTCAACACACCACTCTCACTACTAGACATGAATACCACACAGAAACGCAACAAAGAAGCAAAGGGTCTAATAGAAGTAATGACCCTACTGGGATTAACAGAAATCTACAGAACATTTCATCCACATAAAAAAGAATATACCTTCTTCTCACCACCACATGGATCCTTCTCAAAAAAAGACCACATATTTGGCAACATATCAATCCTCATCCACTTCATAAAATTGGAATAACTCCATGCATCTTCTCAGATGACCATGCTTTAAAATTAGAATTCGACAACAACACAAATTGCAGAAAACCTACAAACTAATGGAAATTGAATAATGCACAACTGCACCATTCCTGGTTCAAAGAAGAAATAAAAAAAGAAATTAAAGACTTCCTAGAATTAAATGAGACAAATATCCCTCATGAGCATTGATGCAAAAATACTCAATGAAATATTGGCCAATTGGATCCAAGAACACATCAAAACAATCATTCACCACAATCAAGTAGGTTTCATCCCAGGGATGCAGGGATAGTTCAACATACAAAAATCCTTCAATGTAATCCACCATATAAACAAGCTGAAAAACAAAAAGCCCATGATCATCTCACTAGATGCTGAAAAAGCCTTTGACAAAATCCAACACCCATTGATGATAAAGGCCTTGGAGAGATCTGGGATAACAGGAACATACTTAAACATAATAAAAGCTATATGTAGTAATCCAACAGTCAACATCTAACTAAATGGACAGAGACTCAACACAATTCCTCTAAAATCAGGAACAAGACAAGGCTGTCTACTCTCTCCATACCTTTTCAACATTGTACTTGAAAATCTAGCCAGAGCCATACGCCAACAAAAGGGGATCAAGGTGATACAAATTGGGAATGAAGAGGTCAAACTTTCACTCTTTGCAGATGATATGATTGTTTACATGAATGACCCAAAGAACTCTACCAGGGAACTCTTACAGCTGATTAACACCTTCAGCAAAGTGGCACGCTACAAGATCAACTCAAGAAAATCAGTAGCCCTACTATATACAGATGATAAAAGGGCTGAGAAAGAAATCAGAGAAACATAACACTTTACAATAGCCACAAACAACATAAAATACTTTGGGGTAACGCTAACCAAACAAGTGAAAGACCTATATCACAAGAACCCTGTTCAACACGGAAATGTCCAGAGGCATCACCATCCCTGACTTCAAGCTCTATTATAGAGCGATAGTCCTGAAAACAGCTTGGTATTGGCACAAGAATAGACAGGTAGAGCAATGGAATCGAATTGAAAACTCTGATATTAACCCACACATGTATGAACATCTGATCTTTGACGAGAAAGCTAAAAATATACAATGGAAAAAAGAAAGCATCTTCAACAAATTGTGCTGGCATAACTGGAGGCTGGCATGTAGAAGTATGGATATCGATCCATGTTTATCACCATGCACAAAACTTAAGTCCAAATGGATCAAAGACCTCAAAATAAATCCAGCTACACTGAACCTCTTAGAAGAGAAAATGGGTGGTACCCTTGAACGAATTGGTACAGGAGACAGCTTCCTGAACATAACACCACTAGAACAGTCAGTGAGATCAACAATTAATAAATGGGACCTCCTGAAACTGAGAAGCTTCTGTAAGGCAAAGGATTCAGTCAGCAAGACAAAAAGCAGCCCCCGAATGGGAAAAAATATTCACTAACCCCACATCTTACAGATATCTCCAAAACACCAAAGGACCCAGTTAATAAATGTGCTGCAGAACTACATAAAGAATTTTCAATAGAGGAGTCTAAATTGGCTGAGAGGCACTTGAGAAAATGCTCAATATCCTTAGCCATCCAGGAAATGCAAATCAAAACAACTCTGAGATACCATCTCACTCCTGTCAGAATGGCTAAAATCAAAAACACCAAGAACAATTTTTGCTGGAGAGGATGTGGTAAAAGGGGAACACTCCTCAATTGCTGGTGGGAGTGCCAACTGGTTC